AATGAGACATTACCTCACACCTGTTAGGATAGTTATTATCTTAATAAACTCTTTACTCTTCAAACCACATAGAGTTTGTTTAAATGTGTTTACATCATAATAAAGAACTAGGATAATTTGTGTAGCCATAAGTTATATTTCCAAAAGTTGCTGTTGTTTATTATACAATAAATGCTAGAAAATATAGAGAGGAGATTTTTCAACAGTCAGAAGTATCAAATATAGCTTTTATCTAATATGTGGAAATCATATATTCTTTATTGCTTATATTTTTATTAACACCTTTCTTCTTAATAGCACTTGCACAGATATATGTGGTTAAGTGTAGCTTCCTTATTAAAAGACACATATGAGCACCCTTTCGCTTTGGTGTATAAAAAGGACACATTAGGGAGAAACTAGCATTTTTGTTACATATTAGATTAGATTGCAAAGAATTACATGATCTATATTAGTGAGGGGACACTGTAGTGAATAAACTATTAAGGGTAATTCACCACAGGACAAAATACAGATGTATTAACTAAAAAATTTTTTGCCCTTGTGGACTATTAAGAGTGGAATTGTGTGCCCTACCCCTCATATGTTGAAATCCTAGCTCTTAGTACCTCAAAATGTCTCCCTATTTGGAAGTAGGGTCATTGCAGATATTATTAAGGTGAGATCAGACTGGAGTAGGACAGGTCCCTAATCCAACATGAGTGGTATACATATACAAAGGGGAGATTTGGACACGGCCACAGACATAATGAGAATGGCAAGTGAACATGAAGATAGAGATTGAGGTGATGCAAAAAGTAATGCCAAAGATGGCCAGCAAACTACCAGTAGCTAGGAGAGAGTCATGGAATGGATTCTCCCCACGGCCCTTAGAAAAAACCAACACTGCAAACACCCTGATCTTGGACTTCTAGCCTACAAAACTGTGAGACAATACGTTTTTGCATTTTAAACCACCTAAATTGTGGTACTTTCTTATGGCAGCCCCAGCAAACTAATACATGGCCTTTGTATCCTTCCTTTCTACAAAGAATCAATGGCAGTCATATTCATTCACATATTCATTCACCTTAGGAAAGAGAAAGGGCACATATTCATTCACCTTAGGAAAGAGAAGATTAAAGGGCCCAGAAAGTATAAAGAAGTCAACTGATCTAATCAGATGTTTGGAATCTTAATATAGAATAGAACTTTGAAATCAAAGGTGTTGATTTATAGAGATCTGGGGGACTGAGATTAATGTCATTCTTCTTCTTCTTCTTCTTTTTTTTTCAATTCCAAAGCCTGAGTATGATAAAACAAAACCTGATACTTGAACAGAGAGAATTTAAAAGTTTCATCTTCACCCTCAGGACTTGGGAAAAGTCATATATTTGAGAGAGGGTTTCCCAGGTTTGAAAGCAAGACTTAGTCTGCTTGTAGGATAGCTGAAAATTAGGACAGTAGTTTAGTGGACGTCCCCTTCTGTGCATGGTTATTTTGAAAGGGCTCTGCTTTCTACCTTACTAGAAAATTTAGGAAATTCGCCAAACCAAGGAATAAAATGGGGTGACCTAAGGAAGTGCAACACTCCATATAGCATCATACCAGTATCAGAGACTGGCAATCACTAAATAAGCTGTCTAGCTAAGTGCCTGAGAGCAGCCTCACAGAATTCTGAGCTGCCCACATGATTACAGCCAAATGTCACTTCTCTAGAGTATAGTGCAGAAGTAACTGAGAGAAAACAAATAGAATATACATATGCCTTAGGTTTGCATCAAAATAAGGATAATGAGGAATTACTAGGAGGCAAGGTTATCACAGAATATGCTAGAAGATAAGAATGCTAAAGGCTATTCAAAGATTGTTCATTTCAGCAGAAGCCTGAGTGGACAGATGCTAATGTATGAGAACCAGATTCCTCCCTTGTATCTAGGGAGATGATGAAAACAGAAATGTGAAAACTAAAATTGCTTTGCATGCAAAAAGACAGTGGGAAAACAGATAAACAAACATAGAAATTAATGGGCACAGGTGAAGGGAATAAGGTAAATATATTAAAGATACGTATCATATGCATGTATTGTATATACATTATCATATTATGCATAATGTATATAATTTATACATATGTATAATATAGGTATCTATGTTATATATTATACATATAAAATGTGCCTAAATATATGTATATGTTATACATATATAATATGTATAGAATATATATTATACATCATAGTACACATATGTGTGCAATATATATATATATATATATATATATATAATGTATGTATATATTATATACCTAAAATTTGTATATATGTATATAATGTATACACTTCAGAGTGTATATATATATATATATATTTCTATTAAAACCCTGAGTTATTAGACTGTTAAGATCATAACATACATGATATAATTAGATCATATAGCACATTTTATATATATATATCTTTATTATATATTATGCATTATATACCTCTACTTGCTGATCTCATTTGATTTTTGACAACTTATCATCTGATTCTAGTGATCAAGGAAGGTCAGATATGGCTACCTTCATCATATAGCTAAAAACACTAAAAGCTCTGAGAGATTAAGAATATTATTCAATATATATGTAATAAATCACAGGGATGGAACTAGTTACTTTACTTTCCATACAGTGCCATAAAATGATTAGGGTGCATTAAGCATTCTACTCTCTAGGTTGCACTTAGCCCCTGTTTTATCTTCCAAAAGAGAAACCTGATCTTCCTCTAAATATAGTGGCTCTGTTTTCTTTTTTCAAATATTGTTGCATCAGATTCAGAGCTAATATTATATGCTTCACCCTCTCTATAAAAAAGAAATTACAGTTTTCCCAGTTAAATTGAAATCCTATGGGAAATAATGAGCATTCTGCATATTCTTTGCCCTGTTATTCAGGTTATGCAAGTTCTTACACTGATCTCTAAAGTTTCTTATAAATGCAATTGTTATCTGATGGCATTAGGCCCAGTACACATGAAGCCATTATGTCAGTCAGCCCTAAACAGCAGTCTCTCAATATGCTAAGTAGCATATAGGGAGAGGAATAATTTGATCCTAAAGTAATACAAAATAGAATCAATGTTTATATTTAACTCCACTTGATTAGAAGATATGAAGAAACTTTTCTGGGCAAGTTACTCTGTGTGATTATACAGTGGAGTAAAAAATGAACAAGTCAGTCAGTAATAACGATGGTGCAAAAGGCATGATGAATAATGGCAGCTAAATTTTTAGAGGATAAAAATGCGCCATGTACTATGCTAAAGCTTCACATGCATTGTGTAACTTAAATGTCATGACACTCCTATGAGATTTTTATCTTTATTATCATACATAGATGGATACATGAGTCAACACAGTTAAGTAACATCTTCAAGTGCTACAGGCCTATTCATTCTTGGAGCCAGATTTAAACTTTTGTCTGTCTGACCTCAGGTTCCAAGCTCTTAACTGGCAAAAATCAGTAATTGCATAATCAGTATCACAAATTACTATTTGAAGACATCCCTTTTATTTTTCCCCCCAACCATCCAAACATGACTCTCAAGTAATATATTGTCACAAAATTGTATGTTTGATTTGGCCCTTTGTCAAAAGGTAGCTGCTCCACATTAAAAAAAAAAAGAAAAAGAAAAAGAAAAAAAAAGAGAGGAAAAATTAGCAGTGTCTCTCAAGCCTATTAGTACTGCAAACTTCTTCCTATTAGCTAACATATGAGCCAGCCCTTAAGTTAATGTTTATTTTTACTTTATATCTCAACTTATGAAAATATTTCTGAGCTCTATCCTGTAGTAGAAAAATGCAACAGGGGCGCCTGGCTGGCTCAGTGAGTAGAGCACACAGCTCTTGATCTTGGAGTTCTGAGTTCGAGCCCCATGTTGGGTGTAGAGATTATTTAAAAATAAAAAAAAAAATCTTTACAGGAAAAAAAAGGAAAAAAAAAAGAGGAAACGTTACAAAAACTAAGTACTCTAAGTATTCTATTGTAATGAGAAACTCCATCTTACAGACCTTAAGTATTAAAGTTCTGAATAGGATAGAAGACAGTACTGAACACTTTATCCTTAACAAACTCTACATTACAAACTCCCTACAGCATCACCCTTACTCATGTGAGGGACCCCTACAAACCAAAGAACTCTGTATCTGTTCCTGGAGGATTGGAAAAAGGCCATTATAAATTTGACAACACCTAAAAGAAGACAACAGACCCTAGACCTGAAAAGGGCAAATCAAAAGCCTGTCAGCACAAATTATTCAGAACTTCTCAAATCCTAGCAGAGTGAGTTGGTCTCTGGAGAATCTAAATCCTGAAATTATTTTTAGCTCAAAACCACCACTCAGAATTCTACTCCAATCCCAACAGAAAGGTGTCCTAGCAGATAAAGCATAGGTAGTAGTCTCTCCTTCTAGCGATTGGAGCAAACAAAGAAGTGTGCGATCTCTGTGTTTCTAGCCACTGATCCATAACCTTGGAGCATTAGGTTTTAATGCACAAAGACATGTGTCTATTTTCAGTGACATAGGGCTATCTTCCCTAATATTGATTTAAATACCTTTTTCAATGAAAAGAATAATTTATTCCCAAGCCCCTCCCAAGAACATTTCTCATCTGAAGTGACCCATATTTTAAAAGGACTTAAACATCTATTCTTTTAGAAACATCATTTTTCTTTCTTCTTTCCCTTTCTTTTCTTCTTCCTTCCTTTCTTCTCACTTCCTTCCCTCACTTCCTTCCTTCTTTTCTTCCTTTCTTCCTCCATTCCTCCCTCCCCCTTTCTTTCCTTCTCTCCCTCTCTCCCACCTTTTTTTTTTATTTTTTTATTTTCTGGAGAATAGTTTATCTCATTTATGTTACATGAGGAAGATGGCTACTAAATATATACTTTCTGTCATGAAAATGAGAATAGCAAATTGTATGGTTTTAAATAAATATGAGTTCATTGAGAAGATACACTCATTTCCTGCTAATTTCAGTGAGACTAGTAGGAGGTCAGCCTAATTCTCGTGGCCATCTGTGGACTCCTGTGATGTGCTGTGAACAGTCCATTCCATTCATACTGACATTGATATACTTTCCATTCTATGGCTGGCAGTGAAATGAATTTCAAAACGTAAGTGTCTGTTTTCTAAAATATATCATCTTAAAATGCACAACTGCTATGACTTCTGCTTTCATATTGTAAGAAAATCTAATTTAAACTTTTAAAGAATGACCATTAACTCCAAACCTAATGAAAAAAAAAAGAAAGAATGAAAAGAAAACTATAAGAATTGTTTTATCCCTTAGTATATAATGGTAATTGATGTTAACAATAGTTATTAAAACATTGCAAAAGAAATATTTATGAATAGTTTGTGAAAATAAAAATTATTTTTAGTATGATTTCATATTAGACTTGCTTATATTTCCTATTTTTTTAAATTGGTTATTTCTAAATTAATCAGAACATATTGATTCCCAGTCACTTTGTACAAACGAATGTTTACTATAACCATGTGTTCTGTGAAGTATGCATTTCCACAAAGACTGTATTTTTATGGTTTTATAGATAATATAATATAAATAAGTAAGCTCTCAATAAATGCATAATGACTTACAAATAGCCTCAGAAGATTTTGCTCAAAATTTTGCTCAATTTTGAAGGAAATTTTAATTACAGGAGTGTACTAAAAGCATTCAGATAATTACTGTTGGAAAATATTCCTTTTCCAAAACTAAGTAATTCTTACTGGTATTGCCTGAAATTTTACTTTTTTTCTAAATATTTTGTTATATGGTTGTTTTTCCTATAGTTTTACCTAACCCCTTAGGTAATACATGTGATTAAAAAATAATAGTAAGTAAAGCACTGTATAAATGCTTATCTGTTTTCTGTACTATTTTGGAAGGACCTTTCTTTTTCTTTTTTTAAAGGTTTTTTACTTTTTTTTTAAAGTAATCTCTACACCCAACGTGGGGCCTGAACTTATTACCTAAAGATCAAGAGTCGCATGCTCTCCCAATTGAGCCAGCCAGGTGCCCCCGGAAGAGTATTTCTGAGGAGTTTGTACTTATAAAGCCACAGCATTATTTACTTTGTATATTATTCTAAAGAAAATTGACAAAGAAAATCTATCTTTGATCTCAGCGGGAAGCCACCTGACCATTCATAGTGATTAGGGTGTCCTCTTCAGACTTCCATAGGCAGCAGAAAATGCCCAGAGAGAAGGTCATGGGCAGAGATTCTGGCAAATGAACTGACCTCACCTGCCACAACGAACACACAATTGCGTAATCCTAGTATTTACACAAACCCTTCTTGTTCTTTGCATAAACTAGTGTTATATTTTTGTGTTCAGTAGCTGTGAATTTGGGCAACTGGTTCTACTAATCTTTCCACAACAGCTTCAGCACTCCCTCTTGTTTCTAATATTATTATGTTTTTAATTTTTTGTGACCATATTGTTATTGTTAAGTGATCTGGTTTCAGTCCAATTGAAAAGGGAAAGACAAATACAACTATCTGGTACTTTTGAAGCCCGTAGATGTATATCCCTGCTTGATTTAATGATGCTATAAACTTGGAAGAGTATAGGCACTAGAGATAGGCTCAAATAGTTATAAGCACACAGAATTTTTGTGCAAAAATAGTCAATAAAATTCCCACCTGTATTATTTTCTTTTCAGAAATTAATAACCATAAGTGAACTCAAAATTATAGGAGGGTATTTTTCATACATGCAGATTAACAGACACAGAATTGCATCTGAGTGACATTTTAGCACTGCTTATAGTACAATATCTATAAAAATTATTAAAATGTTTTCTTGGTGGTTAAGCTGTTTAAGAGTCCTCTGATCAATGATACTCTAATAAGACTAGAAGTGGAAGTTTAAAAAAGGGTGTGTTTTATTGAAGAAAACATTCTTTTAATTTTGGTATATATGTATACATATACACAGATGTATACATATATATTCAGAAGTAAAAAATTAATATATTACCAAATATATATTATATATTAGTGTAAAATATATATTTAGTAAAAATATTAGTATTATATATATATATATAGAGAGAGAGTGTATATGTGTATATATGTATGTGTGCATGTGTGTTTATATACATACACATATATAGGGAGAGAGAGAGAATTTGTGAGGGCTTTGTTTACCTGTGCATGATTAAGAGAGGAAAGGGACAAGGGTAGGAATGATAAATGATACTGGAGGCTTAATATAATTATTGGTAGTCTTAAAGTTTGTTTTATTAATTGTTAAATCTCAGATGAAAATTCAGAAATACTCAGAGCAGCTCATCAAATTGATGATCTAACCTACCCCCACTCCAGCAATACATGAAAGGCTACATTTTTACCTACTGTAGTTCTTTGACATATTCAGCGAGAAGAGTAATGTACTGATCCTTTTTATTGTGTCATGTTTTGTTATAAATTATAAATAATTTGTCAATTTACTCCTATTTAGACTTTTTTTTTCTTTAGGATTTCACTCCATTGAATTTTCAAGACAAAGAAAAACCTGTACCAGTCCCCTTTCCTTTTAACCAAATCTAATATGTCTGAATGCATTAGTACTCTCTGTTTCCCCCAAAGATAATTGGCAGACATTGATGTCTTTCCTTTTAAGTAACTGCCAAAGAGTACACTAAAAAGCTCTAGGGAATCTAGTAAGCCATTTGTAATGATGTCAATGGGTTCAAATATCACACTAACAATGAATCACTCTTCCATTAACAAAATTATTTCTAAAATTGCCATCATCATTATTTCGATAAATGAATATGTTATATCATTACTGAGGTAGGCTTTTTGATTTCTTTGCAAACATTAATATAAAATGTGATTTTCCCTATAAACCATGTCCATATAAACTGAGAAAACATTACTAACAATAAATGTAATTGATGCTAAATAATCTACCAAAGCATTTGAAAACAATTTATAAATTTTTTTCTTCTTCTTCTTAGACTAGGGAGGGGAAAGCAAGTAACATTAAGTTGTAGTTATTTTAAAGGACTTTTCTATATCTTTTTCACTTTTAATAAATAATCATATTTAAAGTTCATATATCATAATTTAATCATGCTGGCATTTAAAATAAGTATATAAGGGGCGCCTGGGTGGCGCAGTCGGTTAAGCATCCGACTTCAGCCAGGTCACGATCTCGCGGTCCGTGAGTTCAAGCCCCGCGTCAGGCTCTGGGCTGATGGCTCAGGGCCTGGAGCCTGTTTCGGATTCTGTGTCTCCCTCTCTCTCTGCCCCTCCACCGTTCATGCTCTGTCTCTCTCTGTCCCAAAAATAAATAAAAAACGTTGAAAAAAATTAAAAAAAATAAGTATATAATTATATAAATATATTTGAAAGCTTTAATTCACACAAATGTATCTAATACATTAAATTGCCTACATAATTAAAATAACTTTTCTTAAGATAGAATGTTTATTCCCTATATCGGGATGATAAACTCCATAATTATATAAAATTATTATTTAGGTCTTCACAAAGTAAGATTATTAGAGTTCTTACTAAACAAAAGTTTGATAGTGTGGGCACTGATTAGACACAATAATAGATTCATTTGTGAAAAGAGTTGTTTGTATTGGATGTTAGAAAACAGAATACATAGGTCTCAGAAAGTAGAAAATAGAACAAATCCCTTCTCCTTTCCCCTGTCTTTGTTCTTAAGAGTATGTTGAAGCTCACCTTCTAAGTTTTTAAAGTTTATTTATTTTGAAAGAGAGAGAGAGAGCAAGCAGGGAAGGGGCAGAGAGAGAGAGGGAGCATCCCAAACAGACTCCACACCACCAGTGCAGAGCCCGATGTGGGGCTTGAACTCACAAACTGCAAACCCTGAGATCATGCCCTGAGCTGAAATCAAGAGTCGGATGCTTAACCGACTGAGTCACCCAGGCGCCCCAAGCTCACATTCTAATTCTTAGGAAGAAATGACTGTAAACTGAGATAATAGTCAAAAAGCATTAAAAGAGACAGGAAATCATTCAAGTAGAGAAAATGCTCAGACTACATATTAAACAAACTTGTACCAGATCAACTGTAATTTCCACTGGACTTCATTCTTACATTCAAGACATTTCAGTTTTCACATACATTTTTATGAGCACATTACACATGAATTGTTTAGATTAAAGAACCATAAGGCACCCCAAGGACACAGTCTGAGGCAAACTTAGTAGGGACACAACAGGTACTTGATGACTAAATACTGAATACATCACTTATTATCTAAAATGTTCTGTGATAAACAAAGGATTGATGTTTTAAATGGCAAAACAAAACAAAAACACAAAAAGCAAAACCAAATAAAAAACAATGTAAAAATATAAAGAATTTTAAAAATAAAATTAAAAAATGGGTACATGCTATTTAAAATGTGTATTTTTGAAAACAGTTGTGAGAGTATCTCTGTCCTGTTAGTTTCTTCACTTATAAAATAAAAAAAAAATGGCAATTGTTATTTCATCATAGGGATGTTGTGAAGATTAAATTAGCTTATATGTATGAAGTATTTAGTCCAATGATGGAATATGGTAGGATATCTACTTTGTATTGTTGTTGTTGTTATTATTATTATTCTCTGATACCCATTCTGGGTTCTGAGTCAGCATTTCAAGACTAATAGAACCCGAGTGTATGAAGGCAGAACCTTTATTTCACGTGACAACACTTCAATTCTCCCTTATGAAACAAGCCTGCTAATTAGTTTCCGCTTGTGTGACCTTGCCAGCATCTAAACCTCCAAAACATAAGAAAGCAGCCCATCACTTATGAAGGGTCATAAAATAGAGAGGACAGAAGAATGTTTTTCCAAATGGCTAAGATACAAAAATGTGCATTACTACTTCAATTGTTATAAGCAATGACATGAATCCCACAGATTTTCACTTTTAGCATGAGTAACTCACTATTAATCTATTAAGATAATTATCAGCATTATAGACATTTGATATTCATTTCCTAAAAAAAAAAAAAAAAAAGAAAAGAAAAGAAAGTAACAGAAAGTTACATTAAACATTTTATTCAGCATTCTGCTAAGGCCAGCTGTCACACAATGCTTGGCAATGTTACAAAGCTCCTATCTGCATGCGCAT